CCAGGGAGCCACTGGACAAACTGCCTTTTTCCTTGGACATCAAAGAGTACTGTGGACCTCAGAAAGAACACGGTAACACATTCGTTTCTGGTCATGCCAGTTTGCCCGTACCCCTTTCTTGGACGTGATCTCTTACAGAAACTACAAGCCACCATATCCTTTGAGGGGGGTGGAGCACACTTCACTGTGGATCCAAGGAACCCAGGCCCTTACCCATCCTCCCCTGGCCGCATTCTTCTAACCTGTCTTCTCTCAGATGAATATCTTGCAGTAAAGGGCCAATGTGACTCTGCTTACTTGGGGAAATTATGTCTCTTTCCCATGGTTTGGGCAGAAAACACCCCCCCCCCCGGGGTTAGCAAGTCATCAAGCACCTGTAGTAGTCCAAATGCAAGGCACTGCCACTCCAGCTCGGGTTCGGGAATTCTTAGGGGCAGTTGGATACTGCCGCCTGTGGATACTGGGGTTCGCAGAGATTGCTGAATCTCTGTGTTCAAGTGCTGGGGAGGTGCAGCCGTTAAACTGGACCTACGTGGAGCAATGGGCCTTTGAGGAGCTAAAGAAGGCTCTCAGCTCAGCACCTGCCCTAGCCTTGCCAGACGTCAGGAAACCCTTCCATCTCTACATGAATGAAGTAAGGGGCATTGCCAAAGGGGTTCTCACCCAGACTCTAGGTCCCTGGAAGAGACCTGTGGCTTATCTGTCTAAGACACTAGACGCTGTGGCTGCAGGGTGGTCAGCATGCCTCCGGGCAGTGGCCACCACAGCATTGCTGGTAAAGGAGGCAAATAAGCTGACTTTGGGCCAGGAACTAGCCCTGACAACACCCCATGCTGTGGAAGCCCTCCTTCGAGGTGCTCCAGAGAGATGGATGTCAAACACCAGGGTGACCCAGTACCGAGCTCTTCTCCTGGACCAGCCCCGCATCTGATTCCATAAGACATTGGCCATCAACCCTGCCAGCCTGCTCCCAGACGATGATCCAGAGGAGCCATCCATGACCGCATAGAGGTAACAGACGCAGCTTGCCCAGATTTGACAGATGTCCCATTATCATCACCAAACAAGGTACTGTTATGTACAAAATGGGACAGTGGGAGGTGGTAGTCAGCCTAGACTGCGCAAGGAAACTGAGCTGCAGACCAAGCTGCCAAGGAAGCCACCCCAAAACCAGTGGGGCCTTTATAAGAGAATGTATTGGCAGAACAGAAGGACCAGAGGACCAAATGGTTGGTGGACTCTACCAGATGGCAGACTGTTGGTCCCAGAGGCTCTAGGTCAGATTTTAGTTGCCCAGTTACACCAGGCTACCCACATAGGTGTCACCAAGACTTCTGAACATTTGTGAGGCAGGTCACAGGTAAATGCAAGGTAAGGGGGGTCCCCCTGGGAATTCAGGCCCTGGGAAACTCCCCAGGAGAACATTGGGAGGTAGATTTCACAGAGATTAAGCCACCGGCATCAGGGTATGAGCACCTGCTGGTTTTTATAGACGCTTTCTCGGGATGGGTTGAAGTCTAGCCCATCAGGACAGAAACTGCCTTTGTAGTCAAGGTATCTCAAAGTACAGCTAAGGTCTTAGGCATAAATTGGAAACTCCATTGTGCATACCGGCCACAAATTCAGGGCAGGTATGAACAGGACTCTAAAAGCACTTTAAATTTATCCCAGAAACCGGTGAAAACTGGACCAACCTCCTGCCCTTTGCCTACTTGCAGGCCAGGTGTACCCCCAACTGGAAGGGGTTCTCTCCTTTTGAAATCATGTTTGGTAGACCTCCCCCTATCCTGCCCAAAGTTAGGGGAGGAATTAAAAGCTCAAAGTCATAACCATTCCTTGCCCAAGTCCTTGCAGGCTCTGCAGTATGCCCAGAGAGCCACCCATAAGTTTGTCTGAGACTCCCTGCCAGTGCAACCTTTGACCCTGTACATCCTTTCCAGCCTGGGGACTCGGTGTGAGTAAAGAAGTTCACGACCCAAGGACTCACCCCAACTTGGAAGGGACTATACACTGTCGCCCTAAGCACTCCCGCGGCTGTTAAGGCTGACGGCATCCAGACCTGGATACACTACTCCCAGATCCTGCACCAGAAAATGGCCTTGATCCTGGAAGCCAGTGGCCTAACCCGTGAGATCCAGGAGGAGGCTCAACGTCTGCAAGAGGGGAACTGGACTTCAGTGAGGACAATACTGACAGGGACCGTGGCACTAGGGTACTTGGTAACTGTAAGAACATTTTTTCTAGCCAGTGAGAAAGTCCAGGGCCAAGTGGGGCTAGATGTGCTAGGGGGCAGGAGAGCAGGAACAAAATAGAGAATGCCCCTAAAAGAAGTGGGGTAAGTAAATGAAAATTAAATGGCAGTTTAGAAAAATTAATTTGGCAGCTCTGGTTGCCCAAAATCACTGGTTGCCATGGTGTGCCTTGACATCACATAGCCTCAGCTTGACCATCAAGTAAGGGCAGGGGTGGCAGAGGATGCAGAAGTCTCAGACACTCTGGTTATAGAAAAGAGACCTCCCTCTTACCTCCTAAAATTTCCCCCCCACCATAATTTTTTTCTAATTTATCTCTCTCTCTCTCTCTCTCTCTCTCTCTCTCTCTCTCTCTCTCTCATTTCATCTAGTTGCATTATAGACCAGTATAGGGCAGGGAGGTGGTGTTTCCTCTAAGCCACTTCCCATGCTCCCCCGTCTTTTCAGTGGTCCATTCCACTGTGTTTGGATATTACCATTTCCTAGTATTTTGAGTGTTGTTTTAATGGATGTTTTATTTTAGAATAGTTCCACATCTACAGAAAAATTGTGAAGATAACACCCATGAGCACCATACCCAATTTCCCTTATTAGTAATACCTCACTTTGGAATGGGGCAAATGTAACATGAAGTGGATCATCAGTCAAACAGAGTAAAACCTCACTTCTCTAGTATATCCAATATACAACAATGCTGTTGTAGACCAAGTTGTTAAAGGAAAAACTGTACCAGTTGTGGCACAAACTTCAGATGTTGAGCTGACCATCCTTTCAATAGTTTAACAATATTCAATAGTCTACCATGTAAAAAGGAAATAAAATTCATTACTATACACTGCCGATACTAACACAACACCCTGTTCCTCATGACTGCAACCACCACAATCCACCCACACCCCCGCCCCGCCAAAGTAAAACCTCACTTCTCTAGTATATCCAATATACAACAATGCTGTTGTAGACCAAGTTGTTAAAGGAAAAACTGTACCAGTTGTGGCACAAACTTCAGATGCTTGAGCTGACAATCCTGTCATTCCCAGTGCTGGGGAGGTGGTTGATGCATGGCCTGCATCCGGCCCTCCCGACCTCGTTGCCATGGTTGGGGCCCGGTGTTGTAGCCTAGCTTGCGTTGCGGCCCTCCCGCCTTCCCAACACCATGGCGAGGGATGGGGCAGCATTTGAATTAGGTATTCTGTCTTATCCACCTCTTTGTCATCCAGTTGAGAAACTGACTTCTAATTCACTTTAGGACTTTCAGTTTGCTAATCCATCCTTGTGTTTGGAGTCTTATTCTGAGAAAGTGTTGAGTAAAAAATCCCCCTTCAGTCTTCTCCCTGTCCTTATTTTAAGTGTCTGGCTCAGCATGGAATGGCTTGTCTGCTGCCCCAATTAAAGAATTCTACATTAATCCCTTATCACATGCCTGCCCCCTCCATAGCTCCCTCCCCATCATCTGAAAACATGCAGAAATACAAACAAATTTCCCTTATACCTTTGCTGGTATTTATTCAAGGAGTCCATTAATGTTTTCATTTTCTCATAATGCCCATTTCTGAAGCATTTTTGATAGAGGGATACATATTACTAAGTGTGTTCCTCTGGGAGACCCTGGGTATCACCTCTGGTAGATGACCAGTCCAGCAATTCTTCTTCTGCATGTGTTGGCTTGCTTACTGGAGGTTTTCCACTTCCTGTAGTAAAATACAATTATCTGATTCTGATTGTCTTTGTCCTTCTCTTCATTCAGCTTAAAGACCAAATTTACCATCTCCATTATCTTGGTTATGTAGTTTGGAAACCAGTAAAACTCAGAAAGACATTGGTTTGGCGGGAGAAATTGGAGAATTATTTGGGAATGGGCTTGTAATTGAATGACAGTGAATTGAATGAGGAAGTGCCTATCGCCAAAAAGCAGGACGCCAGAATGGAGCCTGGGGAATTATTGGGGAAGGGGAAGCATTTGAATAAGGTATTCTGACCTTCCCCATTTCTTTGTAATCCAGTTGAGCAACTGACCTCCAATTCCCTTTAGTACTTGCAGTTTCTTCATCCATCCTTGTGTTTGGAGTCTTAGTCATTATCTCCACTAGTCTACAATACCTTCTTAAGAGGTTTAGCTTTCTTGAGTCAACAGACCCTACTCACAGGGTCCTGGCCTCTATATATACTCTCTAGGTCAATGAGGAGCCACACACTTCAGCTCTGATTGCCCAAAATCACTGTTTGCCATGGTGTGCCTTGACATCACAAAGCCTCAGCATGACCATCCAGGAGGCGCGTGGGTGGGAGAGGAGGCAGAAGTCTCAGAAGCTCTGGTTATAGAAAAGAGACCTTCCTCTTACTTCCTAAAATTTTTCCCAGACTGACCTCTCTCTCTCTTTCTCTCACTTCCTCTAGTTCAATTGTAGTCCAGCATATGACCGGGCGGTGGTGTTATCTCTAAGCCACTTCCCATACTCCCCCGCCTTTCCAGTCATCCATTCCGCTACTTTCCAGATGACCATTTGTTAGTATTTTGAGTGTTGTTTTAATGGATGTTTTATTTTAGAATAGTTTCAGATTTACAGAAAAATTGTGAAGATAATACTCATATACAGCATGAGCAACTTTACTTATTACTAATATCTTAATTTGGTATATGAGGCCACTGTAACATGTAGTGAATCATCAGTGAAACAGTTGGAGTGAAACCTCACTTCTCTGGTATCTCCAATATCCAAGAATGCTGTTGTAGACCACGTTGTTAAAGGAAAAACTGTGCCAGTTGTGGAATAAAACTTCGGATCTTGACCTGGCCATCCTTTCAGTAGCTTAACAATATTCAAGAGTCTACCATGTTAAAAGGAAATCAAATTCATTTTTATTCACACCAACACTAACCCAACACCCTGTTCCTCATAAATGCGACCACCGCGATCCATTGCATACTCCAATCCAAACCCAAATTAAACATCAGCTTTTTTCCTTCCTTGACAGTATGAGAAATTGTTAAGGAAGAAATGACCATTCAGCCTTCTCCTTGTTCTTATTCTCAGTGTCTGGCTCAGTATGGAATGGGGTTTCTGGTGCCCCGACTGAAGAATTCTACATTCCTCCCTTCTCACATGCCTGCCCCATCCTTAGGTCCCTCCCCATCATCTGAAAAAACGCAAAAATACAAACACATTTCCTTCATACACTTGTTGATATTTATTCAAGAAGACCATTATTGTTTTCATTTTATCATAATGCCCATTTCAGAACCATTTTTTATAGAGGGATGCACATTATTAAGTGTCTTCCTCTGGGAGACCCTGGCTATCACCTGTGGTAGATGAACACTCCAGCACTTCTTCTTCTGCATTTGTTGGCTTCCTTACTGGAGGTTTTCCACTTCCTGTAGTAAAATACAATTATCTGATTCTGTCTGTCTTTCTCCTTCTCTTCATTCAACCTAAAGACCAAATTAACAATCGCATTTATCTTGGTTATGTAGTTTGAAAACTAGTTAAACACAGAAAGACATTGGTTCAGGGGAAAAATTAGAAAATGATTTGGGAATGGGCTTGTAATTGAATGACAGTGGATTGAATGAGGAAGTGTCTGTGGCCAGAAATCAAAAGGCCAGAATCTAGGGTGAGGAATTATTAGGGAAGTGGAGGCATTTGAATAAGATATTCTGACCTTATCCATTTCTTTGTAATCCAGTTGAGAAACTGATCTCCAATTGCCTTTAGCACTTGCAGTTAATTCATCCATCCTTGTGTTTGGAGTCTTAGTCCTTATCTCCACTACTCTACAATGTCTTCTTAGGAAGTTTAGATTTCTTGAGGTAACAGACCCTACTCACAGGGACCTGGCCTCTATATATACTCTCTAGGTCACTGAGGAGCCACACACTTCAGCTCTGATTGGCCAAAACCAGTGGTTGCCATGGTGTGGCTTGACATCACAAAGCCTCAGCTTGACCATCCAGGAGGGGCGGGGGTGGGAGGGGAGGCAGAAGTCTCAGAAGCTCTGGTTATAGAAAAAAGACCTTCTACTTACTTCCTAAT